AGGTCCATGTGATTTGAAAACCTTTTCCCAACACTTTACTCTTAGGCAGTGTTTGTCTTTGAGGTTTAGGTTTGTTTCTTTTATAAAGCAAAAGGATGGATCCTGCTTTTGGATTCATTCTCTAAGCTTGTGCCTTTTTATAGGCGAATTGAGTCTGTTGATAGTAAGAGATATAAATGATCAGTGATTGCTGGTTCCTGTTTTGTTTCAGTAGTAGTGTTTGTGTGTTTCTCTTCTTTGGTGTTTGCAGATGTCAGGTTATTTGTTTTCTGTGTTTACAGTTAGCTTCCTTGGGTTGGAGTTTCCCCTCTAGTACTTTCTGCATGACTGGATTTGTGTGGACAAGTATTGTTTAAATCTGGTTTTGTCATGGAATACCTTGTTTTCTCCATTGATGGTACTTTCATTCTTGTACCTTCATAACTATATCCTTCTTTGGGTTGGAAAAGTTTTCTTCTATGATATTTTTTTTTGTTGAATATATTTTCTGTGCCTTTGAGTTGGTGTTCCTCTCTTTCTTCTATCCCTATTATTCTTAGGTTTGGATTTTTTTCATGGTGTCCCAGATATCCAGGATATTTTGTTTAAGGAATTTGTTGGAGTTATTGTTTTCCTTGACCAATAAATCTATTTCCTATATAGTATGTTCAGCACCTGAGATTCTCTCTTCTATCTCTTGTATTATGTTGGTTACACTTCCTGCTATACTTCCCATTTGTTTAACCAGATTTTCCATATACAGAATTCCCTTCATTTGTGTTTTCTTTATTGCCTCTCTTTCAGTCTTCAAGTCTTTTTTTTTTTTTGATTTTTTAAGACAGGGTTTCTCTGTAGTACTGAAGCCTGTCCTAGAACTAGCTCTTGAAGACCAGGCTGTACTTGAACTCACAGAGATCCACGTACCTATACCTCCCAAGTGCTGGGATTAAAGGCATGTGCACCACCACTGCCCACCCCAGTCTTCAAGTCTTAAGTTGTTCGCTTCACCTGGTTTATTGGTTTTTTTTTCTTGGTTTCTTGGGTTTCTTTGATAGATTTATTGATGTCATCCAAGTTTTAGTTTGTGTTTTCATCAATTTCTTTAAGGGAATTTTAATTTCCTCATCATACTCACAAAGTTACATTGAAAATCATTTTCTTTTACTTCTTCTGGGTTAGGATGATCGAATCTTCTTGTTGTATGACCACTGGGTTCTGGTGTTACCATGTTGCTTTCTATGTTGTTGGATGAAATCTTGCATTGGCACCTACCCATCTCATCCTTCAGTTGGTACCAGCAGTGTCTTCGCCTCTTGGCCCAATCCTTAAAGTAGCTGTTTTTGTTTTTGAGACCTGTTTTTGGCCTACTCTGTGTTTGAGAGAGCAACACCCCTAAAGACTATCTTTGCCCTCCCTCTTGGCCTGCTCTTTTGGTCTGCTCTCCTGGGTCGCTCTCTTTGTCCAGTCTGTGCAGTTCACTGACTGAACAACCTCCCAGAAAAGATCATGTTTCTCTCCTTGGTGGCCTTTCAATTTCCTATGAACCTTCAGTAAAAAAGGCTTTCAAGATGAAATTCCTCATTGTATGTGATGAGTCTCAATATCGTTAACTAATTTTCTGACTTTTATGTCTACTGTGTTGTGGTTGGAATTATTCAGCCAACTTCCCACTTACACTGAAATGCTTTTATCATCATTATAGGCTTGATCTGTAAATCACAGAAAATATAGAAGAAACAGTTGCTGTTCAGGGCAAAGGCGTTTTGTAGCCTTTAGTTTTAATTGTTTTGTTTGCTTGTCTGAGTAACCTTTGATGTGTGGCTCCAAATTCCTCAAAGTAAAGTGAGGGGGGCTTCATTCATGGCTTTGTTTTTATGTTGTTGGATGATGACCCTGAATGTAGGCTTTTAACATATCAAGCATATGCAGCTTCACACATATCTTGAATTTTAAATTTGACAGAGGGATTCATTCTGATTCCCAGGAGGCCATTTATTCATGACATTAATACTACCTGAGCAATCTGAGTCTTTTTTTTTTTTTTGGTTTTTCAAGACAGGGTTTCTCTGTGGCTTTGGAGCCTGTCCTGGAACTAGCTCTTGTAGACCAGGCTGGTCTCGAACTCACAGAGATCCACCTGCCTCTGCCTCCCAAGTGCTGGGATTAAAGGCATGCGCCACCACCGCCCGGCTGCAATCTGAGTCATTGAATTGCAGGTGCATGAACTTCTTTCTGCTTGATTAGCTTGCTTTTAATTTTTCACTCAATTTGCCTATTTTATGGGTCTGCATGGATATATACCATATGGGTACTTGGTCATCAGAGTGATCAAAGCTTCTCAGAAATCCTGAACTTAGAATAATAAATAGTTGTGATCCCCATGTAAGTACTGGCATTTGTGCCCACCTCTTTTCAAGACCAGGAAGGCCTCAGTAGTACTCAGCCATATTTCCAGACCTGTGTTAATTTGTTATGACCAACATTTATATTGCTAATGTTTTTTTTTCTGTCCATTTGTAATTATTTTAAACATAAAGTACCTTTTTATAAAATGTTTTTGGGATTGTAGTATAAAATAGGACACTTCAGCTGTCTGGAAGATGAACACAGAACTGGAGTGAATGCATAATTCTCTGTAGGAACTTCAGTAAACAGCTCTGAATTTTTTTCGATCTGCTTTGTTTGTTTCACTGATTTTTGCTATGGAGACTGGGGCTTAATGTGTACTTCCACCTGTCATGGACTGATTTTTTATTTTGGCTGGCATTCAACTCAGAGACAAATATACACACCTGTGCTTTCTGAGTGCTGTGCTTAAAGGCATGAGTCAATACACCTAGTTTGTCCACTGGGTTTTTCTACTTTGTAATTAGTATTTCTTTATACAATTTTCTCAGTCTACTATGTCCCATTGATCTGTTTCCTTGGCTGTCTCTATTAATAGACAGTTCGGCTGTAAGGTGATATCCCATTCAAAGGGTACAGAAATGACAGAGGTGACCCTCATATTCAGTTTCCTTCAAGACTGACTGTGTCATGAAATATTAGTGTTGAACGCCAGAATTTGATGACTATACTGTCAAAGAAGTATACATTTACAATATTGTCACCATCATGCTTCTATTATACACATGAATGAAATATTTTAGACGGCAGTGACCTATGATGATGTGCATATCAGCTTCACTCAGGAAGAGTGGGATTTGCTGGATCTGTCCCAGAAGAATCTCTACAAAGATGTCATGCTGGAGACCAACAGGAACCTTGCTACTATAGGTAAAAGTAAATTTCCTTCATGAATCAATATAAGGGGGGCAGCTGGGCAGTGGTGGCACACGCCTCTAATCCCAGCACTCAGGAGGCAGAGGCAGGTGGATCTCTGTGAGTTCAAGGCCAGCCTGGTCTACAAGAGCTAGTTCCAGGACAGGCTCCAAAGCCACAGAGAAACCCTGTCTCGAAAAAAAAAGGGGGGGCAACTTTTTCTTGGTTAATGATGGTCTTCTGTAATTTGATTTAAAAATAATAAGAATGAGTTGAATAAAGCAGTCATAGTTCTAAGGGTCCCTTAAGATAACACCTTAACTACTGCACAATTTTCAATAATATAACATACATTTTCTGGTATTATATTTTAGGATGCATTTGGGAAGACCATAATACTACAGAACACTCTCCATTTTCTAGAAGAACTGAAAGGTAATTTTCATGTGCAAGCTGATAACAATGTGCCTCTGATGAAACTTTTGTGTCCTGAAAGTTTTGGTCAAAAGCAAAATAGATAAGCACAGTTTTAAGTGCACTAATGGTTATCAAATTTTTACAAATCCATATTTCATATATGTGAGTTGCATTTGAATGACATTCTTTTAAGAAAGAAGTCAAGAAAGCAATGGCTAGAAAGATATCACCTTGTGAGGCATAGTAGCATGAGAGCTTTGTTGTAGATCTGCAAATAAATTTCTTTCTTGCTACTCATAATACAAAAGGTATATGAAGAGATGATAAGTATATCTACAAAATTATGTACTAAACCAATAGCCCATAGTAAATCTTGTATTCCTTGTACACTTCTTGTGACTGTGCTAAGTTTAGTGAGAGAAGCAGTTAGAGTTGAGTCAAGTGGCAGGTGTTCTGCAGAAACCTTGACATCTATACCACAAGTCTGTGAGGAACAGCAAGAAAATGCTGAGAATTCAATGTGGAAATCTTTTATTTGTTATTCTTCTTTACTATGTATACCATATGTTATTCTTGATATAAGTGTATTAGCATATGGATATAGACAGATATAGCATACCACTCTCTAAGAACAATTAGATAACCAGTAGTCCCCAAGTTGAGTAAATTTGTAGAATTTGAGTCAAGTATACAAATACTTGGTTTTCCACCATCATTGTTAATACATGAATAAACTCAGACTGCAAAAATGCTCTATGAGTTCTAGAACTGTGCAAATAATTCTGGGTGTCCTAGTTCACATAGCATATGCAATATGATTCACAGTAAAGGAGAATTCATGTATGTTAAAGCTCTCCAGTTCTCTTCACACATGTATCAAACATCATATAGAAAAAAGTTTCTGTGAAGGTTAAAAGGTAAGCCATAAAAGAAAGGAATTGACCATTGGAGGTATCTTCTAAGTGGCAAAACAGTGCCTAATTAAAGAGCAAAACATGAGTTTAGACACAGCTATAAAAACTTAGTATCTGGGCTGGAGAGATGGCTCAGAGGTTAAGAGCACTGACAGCTCTTCCAGAGGTCCTGAGTTCGATTCCCAGCAACCACATGGTGGCTCACAACCATCTGTAATGAGGTCTGGTGCCCTCTTCTGGCCTGCAGGCATACACACAGACAGAATATTGTATACATAATAAATAAACAAATATTTAAAAAAAAACTTAGTATCTGATTCCTCTTTATAATTGGATAATATTATAAAATTAATTCATACAAATGAATTAATTCATACAACAGTGTATTAAATGTGGTATAGCTTTTAAATGTGCCAATTATTCTTGCAGGATTGAAAAAATTCAAACTGGAGAGAAACTTTCAATATATATTCAATGTGGTAAACTGTTGACATATGACAGTCACCTAAAAGGAAATGAAAGAACACATACTGGAGAGAAGCCCTACAAATGTAATCAGTGTGGTAAGGCCTTTGCAGCTCAGAGTCATCTTCAAATTCATAAAAGAACACATACTGGAGAGAAATCCTATGGATGTAATCAGTGTGGTAAGGCCTTTGCACAGAATGGTGCTCTTCAATACCATAAAAGAACACACACTGGAGAAAAACCATATGAGTGTAATCAGTGTGGTAAGACCTTTGCATCTTCTAGTAATCTCCAAACGCATAAAAGAACACATAGTGGAGAGAAACCATATGATTGTGATCAGTGTGGTAAGGCCTTTACAACTCATAGTAATCTTCAAAAGCATAAAAGAGTACATACTGGAGAGAAACCCTATAAATGTAATCACTGTGGTAAGGCCTTTTCAGTTCATAGTAATCTTCAAACCCATAAAAGAATACATACTGGAGAGAAACCCTACGGATGTAATCAGTGTGGTAAGGCCTTTTCACGGTATTGTGCTCTTCAATGCCATAAAAGAACACACACTGGAGAAAAACCATATGAGTGTAATCAGTGTGGTAAGGCCTTTGCAGCTCAGAGTCATCTTCAAGATCATAAAAGAACACATACTGGAGAGAAACCCTATGGATGTAATCAGTGTGGTAAGGCCTTTGCACAGAATGGTGCTCTTCAATACCATAAAAGAACACACACTGGAGAAAAACCATATGAGTGTAATCAGTGTGGTAAGACCTTTGCATCTTCTAGTAATCTCCAAACGCATAAAAGATCACATAGTGGAGAGAAACCATATGATTGTGATCAGTGTGGTAAGGCCTTTACAACTCATAGCAATCTTCAAAAGCATAAAAGAGTACATACTGGAGAGAAACCCTACGGATGTAATCAGTGTGGTAAGGCTTTTTCACAGTATTGTGCTCTTCAATGCCATAAAAGAACACACACTGGAGAAAAACCATATGAGTGTAATCAGTGTGGTAAGGCCTTTGCAACTCACAATAATCTTCAAGACCATAAAAAATCACATACTGGAGAGAAACACTATGAATGTAATCAGTGTGGGAAGGACTTTGCACAGTACAGTGGTCTTCAACATCATAAAAGAACACATACTGGAGAGAAGCCCTATGAATGTAATCAGTGTGGTAAGGCCTTTGCAGTGAACAGTTCTTTTCAAGTGCATAAAAGAACACAGACTGAAGAGAAACCATATGAATGTAATGAGTTGCATTAATGAATGAATGAATGTAATGAAGTTGCATTTGCAACTTCTGGTAATCTTAAAGTGCAAAAAAGATCTCACCATAGATAGAACTTCTTTGAATGTAATCAGTGTGGTATGAGGTTTGCACAGCACAGTGATCTTCAAATGCATAAAAGAACAGAGAAACCCCATGGCTGTATTCAGTGTGGTAAAGCCTTTGACGATCACAGTAATCTTCAAAGGCTTAAAAACAGTATGAATGAAGTCAGTGTGATAAAACCTTTCATGTCTTATTCATCTTCAAGTGCATAAATGTACACATATAAGAGAAAAACCATGGATAGAATCTATGCGGTAAATTCTTTGTCACAAAAATTTACAAATACATTAAATAAACCATCAAGGAAGGAAACTAAATTTAATAAAAGTAGTCTTCAAAAGCATGACAAAAATTATACTGCAGTGAAAGTCTATTTATGAAGACCTATGGGCAGGAGAAAGAGCCAGTCAAAGAATCACACCCTATTACTGAAATGAGATCCAAAGGAAAACGCTTTGTCCCTGAATCTAGAGCTAGTTATAGAGACAACCTCACCCTGAAGACAGAGCTAAAAGCCAGTGAAGGAAAAACACTTTGGCTCTCAAACTAGAGCCAAAGAAACACACTCTACCCTTGTTCAACTGAGCACAAAATCCAGCCCATGTCTCAGCTTGTTCAACTCAGGGATTGAGATCTGACCAGTTTCCACCTTCAAAATCTCCCTGGAAGAGATCTGGTTTTAAGAAGCCCTGTATGTGTCATATGCTCATTCAATTGGCAGCTGCCCCTGTCCACCGTGGCAGAGGCAGTCACTCTCTTCCCTCCCAAATAAATCTCTTGATTGCGATTTCTGTGAAGACCTTCTTGCACTGGAATGGATCAGAAACTCCCTAGTGGAGTTGAATTGAGAAATAATTGATACTTCTACTTGGAAAGTCATTTAACCCAGAGGAGCACAGCAGCAATGGACACCTCTTATGGGACACTCTATTAGGGGAGTGGAGCAGATCAGTAACAGACATTTCTGCTGGGAAACTCTTAGAAGAATGGAGCAGATCCCAGCTGTGATGGTTCTCTCTCAGAGAGGAACATCATTGCCTCAACTAGTGTGGCACCCTTCTCTTCACAACTGTAGGTGTTTCCTAACTTCAGACAGTAAGGATACCATTCCCTCTTGCACTATGAATTTGAATCATAATGAAACCCTATTAGATTTTATACTTCTCTTCAATTGCAAGACATAAGTAATTCAGGTATAAATATTTAAGGATGTGTACTCACTCCTTTTGTTGTGATATCATCTTTATTTCAAATTATAAATGCATTTTATTTGGCCCTTGGTCCTAGAAGATAAGAGAATCACCATGAAAGTTCCATGACAAAAATTGTAAGACAGGGCACCTGAAGCAGGAGCTTAAGAACTCACAACCTTAATCTCCCACATGAAGCAGAGAATGGAATTGGAACTGGTGTACGGATGTAAATTCTCATAGCCTACACTTAGTGGCATATTTCCTTCAGCAGGACAGCATGTCCTAAATCTTCCCAAATGATACCACCATTTAGAAGGACTAATTTCTCTTACTTCAAGCTTAAACATGCTTTCTCTTTCATGAACCAATTCATGAAGAAAAACTCTGTAAGTGAGCAGTAAAATGCCCCAACTCCTCATTTAGTATAATGAATGCTTACAGGAGATATATGTTCATGAGTGAAAAACTGATTAAAAAGTTGTTTTAATTGTAATTATGGGGTGTTGTGTGTGTGTGTGTGTGTGTCTATTTGAATGTGCAATCTGTATCTTGAGAAAATTAACACTTCTTGTAGCAAGACTTACAGGAAGCTGTTAAAAATTTGATTTTAGCCGGGCGGTGGTGGCGCACGCCTTTAATCCCAGCACTTGGGAGGCAGAGGCAGGTGGATCTCTGTGAGTTCGAGACCAGCCTGGTCTACAAGAGCTAGTTCCAGGACAGGCTCCAAAACCACAGAGAAACCCTGTCTCGAAAAACCAAAAAAAATAAAAAAATAAAAAAAAAATTTGATTTTAGTCATGGGAGTGAACATTTCTTAGTCACCTCACCATGGCTCTAGTGCTATAAATGTTTTAAATTCTACTTGGGTCACTTTTCAGTCTGCAATAGGAACAAACTCATGCTGGGTGGTGGTGGCGCACGCCTTTAATCCCAGCACTCGGGAGGCAGAGGCAGGCGGATCTCTGTGAGTTCGAGACCAGCCTGGTCTACAAGAGCTAGTTCCAGGACAGGCTCCAAAACCACAGAGAAACCCTGTCTCGAAAAAGCAAAAAAAAAAAAAAAAAGAAAAAAGGAACAAACTCATAAAGAAGACATTCCTATTCATGAAAATATTTTTTGTTAATAACATTAAGCATCACAGATTTCTTTACCTTCAAGAATAATTATTTTTCATCATAGCATTTAAGGAAGTAAATTACATACCATATTCAGTCAAGTCTGATGGATATTATTGTATTGTGGTTTCTATTTTAAAATATTTGAGGGAGTCACTAAAGTGTGCTGTATTCAAATCCATTTAGTGAAGTTTATTTTGTAGATCTTGTATTTCTTCGATAACTTTTGTTTATCTTCTATTCTGTCTGTACCTAGTGATAGGTATTTTTCTACTGTAACGTATATAATGGAACCTCCATCATATAATTTTCCCATTGGTTATTGAAATATCAGGCCATTTTTGATGATGCTTTACACATAGGGTGGTGGTTTGTGTTCCTGGTTTTGATTTTCATCTTTTCACAAATTCCCTTGAGATTTTGTTATTTGTTATTCGTCTTACCTTGGATGTCAGTAGTGATTCAGGGATACATTTGAACTCATGATGCTCGTTTGTCTTACTCTTGAGTACAAGTCCAAGGGTAGATGATGAACTTCCACTGTGCTGGGTTTTCAAGGGAATTTAACAATGTAAATGTTAAAATGACTAATAAAAGAGATTATAAGAAACATTAAATAATTCATGTGTGTATTCAAAGATTTTCATTTATCTGATATGGATGTACTAATGTATGAGAATCAGCAAACATCTGTGTATCTAATACCACAGCTTGATGTTCTATAGAAATTGAGGATAAGTTTCTAGTCTTACACACAACAGTCCTTTCCACCTGAGCCAATACATTGGTGCTCAAACTCAATTTGAAGAAATATTACAACAGGAAAATTTGTTCACTTTGAGGACTATGCATTTATTTATAACACTTTCTTAGGACCAAAATTATACACCAGAAAATTGCCTCATTTAGTAAAGTTCATTGCTGCTAAGTCAGAACTGGGTTTTATCTCTGGGTTATGCACCATACTTCTACAAATTTTCTCATATTTATTCACTTCACAAGAAGTGCCATTGAGGTCATGTGCAGTCAAATAACTCCAAAGGTTTAATCACTAGAACTCACAAAGCAGAAGTAGGTCATAGACCCTTGCTGGTTTTCCTGTCAGTGCTACATACACATCATGGCACAGATGTATTCACACAGTCACACTTCAATATTTTTTAAACAGATGGAATTAACAATGCAAAGCGAATGACACATATGAAATGATTTGGCCATTTAAAGTATAGAATTTCAAGAATCGTTACTCTTCATCAAAACAGTAATGCTCCACTTTAAATTTTATTTTATTATTGTTCTTTCTCTGATTCAATGATACGTCCTTTAAAAACACATATTTCAACTGGACTTACAGGTGTATGGCTATAAATAAAGCACATGAGAGTGTGGTTGGGCCTGATCATAGTGTGGCCAGCTTCTTCCCCATAATAAATTCATGGCATCCATGGCTATGAGAAAGTATCCTGTCTCAGAAATTCTAACAGAGTCTATGTAAAATTATGTAACTTTTTGCTAATAAAATCTGGCTGGACTCAGATTGATTTCAACCAACTTTTTCTTATCTTTACTTACACAAGAAAAACTGTGATAACAATAACATAAGCATTATAGATATTCCATTCACATTCAATCCGTTGAATCATTTGACAACCATCTAGAGGGCATTTATGTGCTAAGAGACAGAAGGAACAGTGGGACACCTTCACCTTCCGCATTATAATGACATATGTGGGAACTGGAGAGTTGTCTCAAAGTACTACACCTCTTGGTACCCAAGTTTGGTTTATAGCCCCAAAACCCAGGTACCAGTGGTGATCAAAAGATGGTGTCTAATGCTCTTTGTCTGGAGTTACAGACAGCTGTGGATACGTAGTATCAATGTTAGGCCCTGTGGATGAGTATCCAGTGTTCTAAGTGCTGAGTCTTCAGCCTCATGAGCATGTCATTAATAATAGTGAGATGGAAAAGGCTGATATAATAAGTTTATCTTTTCATCACCCTTCATGACCCAGAAGAACTAAAGATTGACAGCACCAGAATCTAACTTAGACTTGGTTCTTTTAGAATTTCTGATCATTATGCATGATCAAAAAGATAGTTTTGCTCTGTAAATCTCCATCTGCCTAAGTGGTTAGATGTGCCTTTTTCTTTGTTGTTGTTAGTTTTTTGTTTTGTTTTGTTTTGTTTTTCAAGACAGGATTTCTCTGTAGCTTTAAATCTTCTCCTGGAACTAGCTCTTATAGACCAGGCTGGCCTTGAAGTCACAGAGATCCACCTGCCTCTGCTTCCAAAGTGCTGGGAGTAAAGGCATGTGCAACCACTGCCTAAGTTCTCATGTTCCTTTTTATTGTTCACAGTATAACCTTGGGCCTGAACACAAAAGAGACTTAAAAATGACATTTTATATGGTATGCAAAATTTTTTTCCAGGCTGGCTCCTCTTTTAAAAATTAACCAGTTTTTAAAGAGATTTTTTATTAAACTTAATTTTGTGGAATAATTTATCCAGAGGAAGGCATATTAATTCTAGAACATCAGTATCTCCAATTTATAAAAAAAAAATGTTTCTGAATCAAAAGTTCTCATTTTGGATCAAGTACCCTTGA